TTTGATTCTTAGCTTTAGCTTAAATATTTCTTTCCTCTATGATGTATATATATAATATATATATATATGTATATAATAAATATATGTATTCAGAATAATAGTATTAGTAATGATAACAATTGAAAAGTTTCTCAAAGTTTGTTTTATTCCTTAGGATATATCCCATTTTAGACATCCAATCAAATCACAGTGTTTTAAGTTCAACTGAAAAATTTTTTCTGTTTGTGCTTTCACATTTTTGGGATTTTTAAAAGTTTTTATTTAATTTATAATTTCACTTCCAATCTGTTTAGGCTTTTTTTTTTTGGACGATGAAAAGGGGAGGCAACTTTGAATTTTATATGACTTTAGATGTAGAACTTAGGTTGTCACGTGTGTTATAATACCACTTTATATAATAAAAGTGTTATAATAATACTTTCATTTAAAGCTCAGTTGAAGGCAAGAATTGTCCTTTTCTTTTGTTGCTCATCACAGTGTTAGTGTAGTGCTTTGCATCATGTTTTCCAGCCAACAATTGACTGTTAAATAAATAAATGGACATCGAACTAGTAGATTTCTTCAGGTGGAAGTAGCATGAGCAGCCAGGTTCCAGAATATTTAGGCAGAACAGAGGAAAGGCCAAATTCATTGGAACTGGAAAGTAAGTGATGATAGTTTTAACTATTATTTCTCATTTCACATAATATTTTAAAACTCCAACTACCCATTATTCATACATTCTTATGCAAGGTTATTACATAGTTAATTTTTAATATATACTCCAAATTTTCAGAATCTTTGCCTGCTGCATTATTTGGCTATGCTTTGTTTTAAAAAGCTAAAAAAACTAAAATAATTCTCATACTGACATAAAATGAATACCCGTTAAGATTTTTTTTTCCTGTTAAGATTTAATATAATTAACTGCAGGAATCTACAAAGATGTCATAGGTAGTTCAAAAGGCACCTTAGAGAGCCGAATTTATATGAAGTAAAATAATGTGGAAATGAATATTTTTTTTTTGTGGAGACAAAGTGTCACTATGTAGTTTAGGCTAGTTGTGAACTCATTGTGTAGCCCACGTTGGCCTCGAACTTGGGGCGATCCTCCTGCCTACACCGCCTGAGTGCTGGGATTATAGGCATGCCCCACCATGCATGACAAAATGACTTTTAAAAGGATAAAAGCTATTGAAGAGCAGAGCAGTCAGTTGAACCTCTGCCAGAAGACATGTTCTTTGCCATCATTAATGAAATGTTAAAATCAGATAATTTGGGTAGAGTATTCTCTAAACAGTGCAGTTTTCTACTGAAAGCATTTATTTTTCCAAGAGTCTCCTTCCACAAAATAAAGCTGGTTTCTTTAGGCTTTGTCTGATTTATCATGTAGACCTTCTTAAGTTTGCTTTTATACGTTACATTTTCATAAATAATCTTAGATTGGACTTTTGAAAGACTTTGCTGAGTGTACAAAGCCAGGCCCAAGAAACTCTTGCCACATGTTCTATTGTATTAGTCTTCATTTTCAGAGGGAACAGAATCTCATTATTTCTAATATTTTTTATGAGACTGGAGGATTTTATTCCATTTCTGTTTTTAATTGGGTACAAAACATAAAATTTCAGAAAATTAGTAGAGATGTAGTACAATTTGATGTGTTTTATTTCAGATTGAAAATATCAGAAGGAAGCACAATTATCTGCCTTTCATTATGGAATTGTTAAAGACTTTAGCAGAACACCAGCAGTTAATACCACTTGTAGAAAAGGTGAGTATTTTACTAGTGAGTACTTAAGTTTAGCTTCTCCAAAAACATGAAATATTTTGTTGCAGCAAGAGTAGAGATAAAATTTCTTGAAGCTTTTTTAGTTTTATTTTTTTGCTTTTACTTAGTGTTACGTTCTCTGAGAACTAGTTAATTCTGATACTGTGAAATAAAAATACAATTGCCTCAATGCTTTAGCCTTACAAAATTATTCATACGTAGAATTCAGATTGTTATATATTAAAGTAAAATTTAAAACACCGTCTTTTCTTTAAGCAAAAGCAGATTTTTAATATTAATAATTGAAATAAAGCCAGATGTGTTAACATACTCTGGTAATCTCAGCACTCAAGAGGATTACTATCAGTTTGATGTCAACCTGGGCTACCTAGTGAGTGCAGGGCCAGCCTAATGCATAGCAAGACTCTATCTCAAAGACCCCCCCACCCCCCAAAAAGGGCTGGTGATTTAGTTCAGTGGTTGCTGCTGCCTGCCTTACAAGCGCAAGGTCCCTAATTTGATCCCTGGTACAAAAACAAAACAAAACAAAACAACCCCCCCTAAAAAATAACACATAATATACTAAGTAATGTGATATGTATCACATTTTAATTTTATATAAATTTCCTCAGGGACCCATAGATGAATTCTAAATGTATAAATTAGGGACAGTATTATTGTTGTTTTTTCATGATCGTATATCCCTAGAGAGAACAGATGTTTACCTTTGCTTTAAAACCATAATTCTTTGGTTTGCTTTATTTTGGACACAAGGTGGCAGTGCATGATTACCTAAATAGTAGTTCACATCAATTTAGTCTATTATGTTTGCCTTTTTTTTTTTTTTTTTTTTTTTTTTTTTTTTGTTTTTTAGGTAGCTGGTTTTTGACCTCCTGGTTTGCCTATTTCTTGAAACTGTTAATACTACTATGTAAGCAATATTGAGATGAATTTATTTCTTGTATATATGCAGTATTTGTTAATCCTCCTGTGTTTTAAGGGAATTCAGACTTACCATTTGGTTGAAGTTCTTAAAAAATTGTGTTAAATTATTCATCAATCATTTACCTAACTGCAACTATATTCCTGGCACTCTGTTAAGGTCTAGGGATATACACATAATTAATACAAAATAATTCTTATCTCAGACAATTTGTTACAAAGAGTTTGGAAAAGGAATAAACAAACAATTACAGTACTGTACTGACTAGTGTTCTTATTATGGTAATCAGTACTGGACTAATTCATGCTGAAAACCTTGCAAAAATACAGAGTAGTTCCTAAATAATAGTCACTTAAAGTTTCATATTCACAAAATTTTAAATTTGTGATTGGAAGTAATTGAATAATTTGTCAATATGTCAGCTTCTTTAGGACAAATATATTTTTGTTTCTCTTTTTTTGGTACCAGGGATTGAACTCGGGTCCTTGTGCTTGCAAGGCAGGCCACCGAACTGCTGAGCTAAATCCCCGGCCCTATTTTTGTTTTTCCTATTTTGGAAACAAAAGCATTATGCTATTTTGAAAAGAAAACAACATTGTATTGTCATTTGCTGCTGATAAATAACAAATATTAAAAAATTAAGTGGGAAAAATGAATAGTGAGTTAAGGTTAGATTTTTTTTTTAATTGAGTTTATTGGTATTCTTAAGGTATACAGTAGTTATATTCATTATTGGGATCTTGTACCTTTACATGACAGGTCTTGGTTCTCATTTTTTTCCCCTTGGCCGTGCTCTCCCTTCACGCCCTCCTCCTCTCCCCATTTGCAAACACTTTATTTCCATTTTTTCATTTTGTCATATTTTTTTCTTTTCTCTTTTCTTTTCCCTTATTACCTTTCCCCTAAAGGTTAGATTTTATAATGATATTCAATAAAAAGCTGTATGGTGTTAGTGACTAGTGATAACACTTGTAGTGTTCAGAAAACAGTTATTAATTGGTATACTTCTTTTTAAAGGCAAACAAGAATTACAGGACAAATTGTGAAAGGAGTTGTAAGGGAACAAATAGGAAAGACACCCCCAAGCCTGTCCAAGATTAGATTTTCTTAGTAACTGAGGCAGTTGCCTACAGCTTTTGGTAGCAAAAAACTATTTGAGCTGAAATCTTTTTGTTTTATAGAATAGTAATGAAAGGTGAAGACTTTGATTCTCTCTTGGACATATGGCTATTTTAAATGAGGCTAAGATCTTAACTCACAAATTTGTTTTGTGGAAGGCTTACGTATATTATATAAAGAGTTAGAAATAACCTAAAAAGTTACAAAACACTTGCATATACCAGATCTGTTTCTTAAAATATAAAATAAAATGAGCTAAATTAAGATTCCACAAAAACATCTCCTTTTTCAAGTAGTCTTATAATTCTTTTAAAAATTTTACTTCAACCTCTTTATAATATTCTGAATCATTTTCTATCCCAAGTTTTAAACAGCTACTTATAATATGCAAAATAGTATTATTTACATTAATATCTGTGGTTACAGAATAATCTGCCACATTAATTTTTTTTTCCTGGTTCAGAACCTTGCATTTGCCAGGCAGGGACAACACCACTGAACTACATCCCCGGCTCACATCATTAATTTTTAATATCTCATTGGCACACTAAAATGAAAAAAATTTTATTTTTTTCCATGCTATTTGGAAATACATTATTTTTTATTTTGTAAACAGGACAGCACAATATAGGGTTTGAGTTTATTCTTGGACATGGTACTTGTTAGCTAGTGCTTTTAGCCAATTCATTTACTTTCTTATAGTCTTCTATTTCTAAGCTATAAATTGGTCATCATATCTACCGCACATTCTTCATATTAAAGAAGTTCTTACTGTTAAGTATATAATAAATGCTTAATGGTGGAAATTATTTTTAATTTACTTTATCTATTTTTTCTGTTATAATTTAATAAATGTATGAATACCCTTTTCAATGTATTTGCTTATTTAATTATAAACTTTCTAACATAAACCAATAATTCATTCTTCTTCTACAGAACATCTTGCTAAATATGTTTGGAGATGAATAGGAAAAGAGTACATACTGTATTCTAAATTACGCCTAAAATTGAATTTTTATTATTTGAAAATATAGGACTTTTGAAAAGGTATACAAATAAAATTATAGATCATGGTAGATCATGGTTGTAACTATGAATGTTGATGTAGGCAATGAATTTTATTATTTTTATATATTACATGATACCTATATTTTATATATGTAATAAATATATCTACAAACTTGTTATCAATATATGTTTTTTTCTCAATATATATATTTCTTTTGTTTTTTTTTTTTCGTACCAGGGATGAAACTCAGGACCTTGCACTTATGAGGCAGGTGGCAGCACCACTAAGCTAAATCCCTGCCCCATGCTCTCAATATATTTAACTGTGTGGTATAACACTCAATTTTATGATATTGTATAGTAATTGTTACATAATGCATCATAAGAAATTTTAATTATTGGTTCTGATTACTCTATTTTTTAATCTAAGGAAATTCTTTTGTTTTTAAATTGTATAATAGTAGAAAGCTGGTTCCTTTCCAAAGCCTATATAATTGGCATTATTTGAGAGTTTTTATAAATGCAGTACCTCAGGTATTTTACAGAATCAGTTTGTATTTTGATAGGGTCCCCAGGTTATTGGTACATAAGTACAGTGAAAAGTGTAGCTATAGAACATGTGTCTTTGACTTTTGTTGAAGTTTTACTATGTATTAGCTATGTGACTTTGGTCAGTTTGGTAATATCTGTGGGCTCTGGCTGCTTTTATCTGCTAAAGGATAAAACAATTGCTGTAGTCAAGCAATATATAATTGTTATGAAGGTCAAATGAAATAACGTGAAACATTCTTTTAGGTCATGTCGGTAGGGCTTATTGACATAACAGTTACACATTCCTTTATTAATATCGCAATGATATTTTCTTAAATTAAACTTAATGTTAAACTAATTTATTCAAATACGTAGAAAGCAAGTTTAAATATAAATACAAAAGTAACTTATACTTAGTTTGAGTAAGAAATGGGCAAATTCTATTGTTTTGGGATATTCATGAATTGATTTTATGAAATAAGTAATTTTATATTTTTTAATTACTATAGTTATACCGATACATTTCAACTATAGATAAAAAAGAACTACAAACCAAGTCTTATACTTTCTGAGGGCAATGAATGACTATATAGTTGTCCAGAAATAGTTTAGTTTGTTACAAGTCTCAAGTTGTAAAATATGTAATGCTCTACAATTTTTATTTTGAAAAAAGTCTTGCTATGTTTCCCAGGCTGGTCTCAAACACTTGGACTTGAGTTGTCCTCCTGCCTCAACTTTGAGAATAGCTGAAACTATAGGCATGCACCACTAAACCTGTCTCTAGAAATCTTATGTGTAGTGCATTTCAATGCTTGCAGCTTGAGAATGCCCTCTTAGGCACATTTTATTTTAGTATAGTATAAAGCAGTCTTTGAAGATTTTGTAATATGCTGTCTTTAATTTTTAGGCAAAAGAAAAACAGAATGCAAAAAAAGCTCAGGAAACCAAGTGAAGAGGATACGTTGGGATGTGTACTCAGCTCTGCATCTGAACTTACTCTCCTGCAAACCATTAAGTCTAAGGAACTTTGAGCAGTGTCCTAATTGACTCAGTGCACGTTTGGCAAAAGTACCAGTCTGTCTTGTCTGTAATGCATGGATCCGTAACTTTTTCCCCACCTGCATCATGTGCATGTAGTACATATTAAATAAAATTGATACTAAGAGTGCTTGCCCAAATTTTATTATTTGACATTGGAGCTGAAAACTCTTGTTGGTACTCTGGATATTTAACTATAGTCAAGAACCTTGGAAATGCACAAATGATATTCTTTACCTGTTACTGTTCTAATTGATTTTTTTTTTTAGCTTTCAGTTTATTAATGTCAGCTCTAAATTAAGTTGGATCTTCTGTTTCTTATCATTAACAGGAAATCAATATTTTTGTCTTTGATATATTTTGAAACTCAAAACTGAATTTTATCTTACAACAATTATTTGATTTTCATGCCAATCAATTGAAAAGAATGAAAATAGTTTCTGGTGATTTTCACTGATGCCAACAGAAAAGGTAATAAATACTCCAATTTTATTTTACAAAACTTTCTTGAGGTGTTTGGAGTTCATGGTATAGTTATCTAGAGAAGTCTGGGTATTATACTTCAAAACAAAATTTCAGGTTAAGAACAAATTGTAAATTTTAAAGAGTTTTGGTGTTTCTCTGCATTTGGCAACCTTTATGCTGTTAGCTGTATCTTTATTGAAAGTTACAGGTTTGACAGTTCAGGTTATTTGCTTTAAAAAAGAAAGATGGCAGTGGTAGTAGAGAACCTTCTATGCTAATTTGAACAAAATTAATAGATTCCACAATTTCTAAGAGTCGTGTACAATTTGCTCATAATGAATTATTTTTTTTCTCTTGAAGTTGTTCAGATTTTTATTTTATAAATTAACATTGTACTATATTCTTGTTCTTAAGCTTCTTTTCCAAGTTAAATTTCAAAGGAAGTTTTATAAAACTTTTTATAAAGAAAATAGTCTACTTTTTTCTTTACCAAGCATGTTTTTAAAGTTGATATGTGGCCTTTTAAACATTATTTATTGTAAAATAAATTTAACATAATTTATTTTGTTAGGTAGAATGTGCCCCCGTCTTTCAGCTTTAACACGTGACTTTTCTAGGATTGTTACAATTGTGGTATTAAATTACTTAGAACCAATGGGAGGAAACCTGTGAGGAAATTGAGAAGAAAAATTAATGAAATATTTTTCATATATAATTTCAAGTGAAGATAATAAGAATATGTAGTTTTTAAATTACTTGTGCATCAACATATTTTGCTCTTGATACAATAGTAATTATGGAGTGTTGCAAAGCTGTCATACAATTTTCAAAATTTATCTTAGGCTCATTTTGATCTCATTCATTTACTTCTTTTTATTTCTGTATTTTATTGAGGCTTCAATTCTGTAAAGCAACATAAGGATTGTTGTAGAAAGTAATACCTAGTAATCAAATAAATCAGTGGAATACAAGAGAGGACCTAAAAACAGATTTATATTTTTCTGATCACTTGATATTTTAACAAAGGTGACAAAGCAATCCAATGTGAAAGGAGAATCTTTTCAACAAATAGAGCCAGAATAAAGTAGCTGAATATTCACATTGGGAAAATGAACTATGATCTCACTACCTCACCAAAATGAATTTGAGTTGGATCATAGAGCTAAAGCATAATTTTTTTTTTTTTTTTTTTTTTTTTT